AGGAGAATAGAGTTGCTCCGTAAGATCTCCCTTAGCCATTTCTCCCCAGCCGCCCCCCAGCCCCCAGCCCCCCAGCTAACCAACCTTCATCTCCGAAAGACGGCCAGAGGACAATTGTCGCTCGGAAGCTCGCGCGGGCGCTGCGGGTTCGTCGCTTTCCGTTTGCAGCGCGACTTCGAAGAAATCACAGTTCCCGACTCAGAAGCCAGAGAGACCAGCTTAGCCCCATTTCAGCAGAAACGGGCAATCCAGAGGAGAATTTCAACCGAAGACGAATAAAGGAGCTAAGGAAAAACGGACACCAATTGGAGTTTATCCTGCTCGGCTACACACAGCCACGGACTCACCGGGGACATCTTGGTGCCAGCTACGGAGAGGACGTCGCCAAGGTCCTCTTCAGGACATCGTGACTGTCCAGAACTTACACTGTTTACAATGCCAGGGGGAAAAAATCAGTTTATTCCACCAAAGTTAAAAAGAGATGGCACACAGTGCTTAGAAAACCCATCCAAGCCCGGGATTTACTGGAGAATACCTTCTCCTGAAAATTAAGGAAGCTTAACAGAGGGGACCATTCTTTTTGTTCAGGTTGACAGGGCAGATAAATGGATATTTCTAAGGCAGGCCAGAAGTGTGTGCACTTATGTACTACACAGAAAGAGAGATACACAGAGAGACCTTCACAGAGAGACTTTCACATCCAGAAAAATATTTTAAGTTTACCTTCAGATCTTTTCACGGGTCTGTCAAGATGGGCTCGGCCTCCCCCACTTTCGACGTCTAGTGTGTCCAAGAGTTTTAGGGGAATTGTGTAGTCAAGCCAGATCCAGGAACCAAACAGGAGTTTTGCACGAGAGAAAAGAAGTGCCTTCTAAAGAGGGGAAGGCGGAGACCAGAACTGACCTTCCTCCTGCCCACCAGCAGCTTTTCACACAAATAAAAGCCATCGATTAGAAGTGAGGAGGAATAAAATCACACACGCAGAGCAAAATGGAAGGGTTTCTTTAAAACCTTAGGCTCCTTGCCTCCTTATAGGTTGTTTGGCCCGTTGGGTGTTTCTGCAGTGATGGAAGTTGTCCTACACAAGACAGACAATAAAAAGCAAAAGGAAAGGGGGGGGGGAATCTCCAAACAAAAAACCAGGCCTACTGTATTCTTTCCCAAACAATAAACTTTTAATGCTAAAGCAGTTATATAACCAAAAACTGTACATTGTCGTCTGTAGGGTTTTTTTTCTTTTTTGTTAGAAAACAAAATTTCTTTTTTTTTAAATGGGATTTTTTTTTTCATAAATATTGTTCAGTTCCCGGCACTTGTCTCAATAATTAAATTACAAATGATAAATATGGCATCATGGATATGTATTTACACACAAAAGAGGTATTACAAAAAGGCAACTGTTTATACTAAACTGCCAGGAGCTGGGTGAAATTAATATCTCACTTTCTCATCATAAAAAATATACTGAATGACACCCCTTCCCATTTCTGCCTTTAGAAGAAAATACATTCACAACAGGAAGGAAAAGGAAAAGGAAAAGGGAGCAAGAAAGAGAGAAGGAAAGAGAAGGAAGGAAGGAAGGAAGGAAGGAAGGAAGGAAGGAAGGAAGGAAGGAAGGAAATATAGGACTTTGGCAAGTTTTAAAACAGTTTTTTTTTCCTTCTATTATTAACAATCACAACTAAGGCCAAAGGAAAACATCAGCTTTGTTTCTGAACATCCCATGGGCTGAGATGTTGGAGGGTGGTTGCGAGAGATGAAATATCCACTGAAGTCAGTTACAAAAGGCAAGGAAGAAAAAAGGATGGGGCTCAAGAACGAACTAGAAGAATTAAAAAAAAAAATAATGAAAGAAACACTCGATGCAGAAAGAGAACCAGCTAATCCTGAGGAAAGCAGACATGATTAAGTCCAGCCTCTGGCTCGTGGGTTGGGAGTGGGGGATGACAAGCCACGGGACGCCTGCTCCCCGACACACCCACTTTTCTCCTTCCTTTTGGCAACTTTTTGTCCTGTGAAATCCAGCGGCAGGCCAGACAGAGAGCTGGGTGTCCTTTGATGTCACTGGGAATCAAAGTGGGTTCGGTGGGCTGGCGGGAGGGCAGGCCAGGCCGTGGCGGAGCTGTTCCTCCTCAGACATACCATTCATTGAAGTTGGGGGGCAGGCCAGGGTTGGGGTTGGCCGTCTGAACAGCTGAAGGGGGAGGTTTGGTGGAGTCCTTGGGGGGGGCAGCAGTCAGGGCTGGGGGTGTGGAGGATTCGTAGCCAGAACTGGCTGCAGGGGACGATTCTGAGCTCTGTGTTTCGTGGACCTGAAAAGAAGACAGAGGCAGTCATCGGAGATCCCGACAGCTCATTTATTGAATTGATGTGGCTGCCATCTCAGGTCCATGACTCTGGGCAGGGGACGGTTACAACAGGATGAAAGCAGGACCCATAATTATAAAGACAAGGAGCATAAAAACAGCAGCCTCGAACGCTCACGCTTGCCTTCCCCTTGGCTGAAGAGGGGTGTATGTGTGGAGGGGGCAAACCTACAGCAAACCCCTGATCAACTGAAAGTAAAAAAGAGAGAAAGTAAAAAAAGATGCCAAACTGAGCCCAAAATTAAATCTAGAATGAACAAAAACAAGGAGGAAAAGTTTTCACCCTGCCCTGCAGAGGAACAGACTCACGACAGTCTGCAGGAGGACAATTAGAAGGCATTACCCTTGGCCGATACTCAAGAATATTGCAAGTGACCTTGAAAGGGATTTATAGTTGAGAAGCTTACATACGTGCCTGAGTGTGGGGGAAATGTAGCTTATTCCACCACCAAGCCCTGCTCCTGGGTTCCTCGAGAAGAATTCTCGTAGAAGGCGTGGGGGTTATTTATTTATTTATGCATTTATTTATGGATTGGATGGAGAACCCAGGGAATGGTCACCAAGGGTGAAATATTCTTTAGCAACGGGAGAAATAAAAGAGGAACTTAAAGCAAACAGCTGCTAGAGAAGCAAGGTCTTGGTCCTTGTCTGGCCAGAATCAAGCCAGGCAAAAAAAGAAGATGGCTATTATTTTAAAAATAAAAAAATGGGATAAGAGTGTGCCCAGTTCTTTTCATTTCTCTTTTTCTGAGGTGAATGCTTATTCTACAGGCCAAAGTACACAGGGAAGCATAAACATGCGCGCACATCCAAATTGTGCTGGCGTTTGGGGGGGGGGCATTATATAAATAACGGTCATAATAAACAAAGAAAAAAAAATAAATGCACATATATGTGTAAGACCTTAATATACAGACGTAAACAACTGTCTGGACACACACACACACATGCACACATCAGTATCAAAATACATTAACCATTTTGTACTCTTTATATAAGTTGTTGGTATAGGTACACTATGTACACACAACTATATATATAGTTACATAATCTATTTACATATATAAATAGATTTCTCTTTAGGAGGAGTGAGAAAGAGAGAGCATATGCATGTGTGTGCAATTGCACACAGAGAGACATTTATTTCTGAAAGAACAAGTGTGTTAGCCTTTACAATTCCACGAGGTTTTTCATTATATAATCGAGCATGGAAATACCGCTATATAAATACGGATCCCTAACCCTCAAGATCAAAATGTTACCTTCATATGCTTCCTTAAAGAACTGGGGTGGGTGTAAGACTTATCACAAACTTTGCAGACGTATGGCTTGTCAGAAGTGTGTACGTGCATGTGTTTCTTTCGGTCACTACTGTTCGCAAAACGCCGATCACAGCCTTCAAATTCACACTTGAAGGGCTTTTCTCCTGCAGATGGACAGGAATACAAGTTTAAAAGATCAGAGAGGGCTGGTGGTGTGTGGGCCAACTTAGGGGACAGAAAAAAATATGGGGCTTTCGCACTTTGTCCCTTCTCTCCTTTTTCTCTAGAGAAAACTTCAATTCCTGAGTAATTTTTGGCTTCTATTTTTCCCATTCTGCTCTTTCCCAGGAACAAGCTTGCACAAGTGGAGGGAGGGAAGAAGGAAGGAAGGAAGGAAGGAAGGAAGGAAGGAAGGAAGGAAGGAAGGAAGGAAGGAAGGGCTTAAGGGGGTGGAACATCTCAAATTGAGCTTGTTGACAGTCACAATGGCCATTGTGTGTTTATCACATGCAGCCAGCCGCCCTTAGAAACGATTAAGAAATTGACTTTGGAGTGATTTATGAAATACAGATGGAAGAGAAAAGGAAATAGAAGCAAACAGCCTTTATTTCTGGAGTGATCCAAAGCAATTGGTAAGAAGTGGAGGACCCCAGAATGCTAGAAAAAAGCACGATTTGCTGCTTCTGTCTCTAGCTATGCCTTTTACTTTTCTTTTTAGAGGAGCTGAACTCTTTCTCCAAAAAAAAAAAAAAAA